CCCGCCGGAGGAGAACCTCCCCATGCCGGAGGAGGACCTCCCCCTGCCGGAGGAGAAGCTACCCCCGCCGAAGGACATCTACCGCACCCTCCTCGAGCTGCTGCGCGGGAAACAGGATGACATCTACCGGGAGAAGAAAGCCGGTCCCGGCGGCGAGTTAGTCACCAACGACATCGGGTACATCGACACTGAGGTGAACGGCCAGGACATGGCCAATGACTTGGAGTAGACCCGGAGGTAAGAAACATCTGCAGTAGACTTCCTCAGCAAGTTGAAGCGACTGATCCATCATGTTTGTGACATTTTTGTGACAAAAGGACCAACTTATTGCAGAACAGTTCACTCATATTTTGCCATGTTTTTCTGTTTTCCGACAGGACCCCGGAATGGCCATGGTCCCACCGCATCCTGCGTGTGCCGAGCACCATCCTGGCCTTCCAGCCGTGACTGCAGATCAGCCGCATAGATTTTAGCTGCTTTTGCCTCATTTAACCATGGCAAGGCTCGTGAGTGGATATCAGGGTTGAAAATAACAAATTATCATCTTCCAGAAGAAGTCTATGACAAAATTTGAACAGTGCCCTTTTGACATATATCCAAGGCACCTCCATATCAATTGCTAGGTTATTTAGGTACAGTCGGGCACAGGAAGCCAAAATATACATTTTTGTTCCAACAAAGGGTTTAGTTCTTGAAAAGATGAAAACCAACATCATCGTATCTTTCTATTGTTCTCTGATATCCTGCTCACAGCCTGTAACTTAGATAACAGGGTTCCTTCTTCAACCATCTCTAAACTTTCATGCCTTAATAGGGAAAGTCCTTGACATGATCGTAATGTTGTTATTTTCATCTAGTCTTCGCAACGTCTTCAAATTCTGCCTAGTAATTTTCAAAGTTCCTACAGCTCTAGTCGTTTTTAGTATAGTAATCTGTCGTCCTGATATTCCCCAAGGAACCCATAGGTCAGCACTTGCTGCTCTATGTAACCAAGATTTCTGCCAATAAAAGTATAGAAAACGCATGATGGAAGACTTTGTCAGTTATTGTTTCGTCGGTCACGACACTGAGGTATATTATTAAGAAGAGTGCATCTGTAGATCAGTGATTCACTGTAAGGCCACACCAAGTAAATTTTATGGATGACGTCCGCGCGCGCATTGATTTCGGCCTGTTCCTAGAAAAAAAAAACAAGAAATTCCACTTCCTGTAACTATGACCAAAAAATCACGACAGTGCCACAAATCGTCAGATTGACGTGAAACCCGTAACGCGAGAACAGGACAGGACGACAACTGCTGTTACACCTGATTTATTGCTGTTTTGATTACGAATAAAAGACTTCTTGCTTGTTACACTGTGTCACCTCATTCAAATTGTGCCCTAGCATTTGTCGTCTCTTAGTATATTTCTTATCTAGGCATCTTGTTTTTAGGGCCCTTCTTGTTTTTTTTTTCGCCCTCTCGCATTAGATTTAGGGTCTCCAAAGGACGTCATCCATAAAATTTACTTGGTGTGGCCTAAGGTTCAGAAAATTGTTCTGAGCAGTTGTAGGGAGAAAGTGCACTTTAGGTTTAAGTCACCAGGTGGTAGCTGAGAGTTTGCAAACAGACGTAAACTATGCAGTCTACAAATTGAAAAAGAACAACTAAAGTTTTTTCCATGCTGGGAATCATCTGAATCGTAACCGACATTGCTAATTGTTCCTAATTGTTTATTGTCCTGTTATGAGGGCTAGTCTTTTATAATAGCCTCTGGCTAGTTGGGCCGTCCGGCTGTTGTCTTCTTTAATTTACGCACCCGAAGTTGACTCACAAAGACTGCCGAGTTTTCACGATGAATACCGAACACGTTTCGGGTGACTCCGTACCTGTCCAACCGGTTCTATCGACCTTCGAACTGTAAATACCCGGCGGACGACAACAATGGAGAGTGGTTAGAAGAAGTGCCCTCGACTTGTACTACATGTAAACATTGGCTAATGCCACTCCTGTACAGTCTTCAATGTTGGTAATAGTTCAGAATTACCACATAAATCATTATGTCACATAGCGAGCCTGATGGCCTTTTTTAACGTTACAATATTGACCACATTGGTCCCTTTTCATGCCAGTCAGTATTAATACCATGTACATGTCACCGTTTAGTTTGCAGTTAGCGATATCGCTACTTTTCTTGGGTTGGACCTAGCCGCGGACATTTCATTCGTCATTTCGGATGGTGAGGTAAATCCTGCGGTCCCGTGTTTTGGGAGGCCTCGGGGGCCGAAAGGCCTCTGCACGTAAAAGAACCCAACACACTTATGGAGTAAGGCAAGGATCTTGGTAAACCTTACTGCAAATGCTACACGTGGCAAAGCCACCTTGTAGTGTATACAACTACGGAAAAAATCGCCATGCCTGTTTCGAGATCTTGCTGGTTTGACGAAGAGACAGAGTGCGTCCCGAAAGCTCTTTAAGAAGTTAGTAATTTTGTTGTGTGTATTGTTTATACATATTCGAGCATATTCGTCAAAAGCATTTTAATTTGTTCTTTATTGCTTTGTGTTGTTTTGGGATTGTCTGTTTGTGGTGATAAAGAGACCGTTACCTTTCACATGTTCCCAAGCCTGCGCCTTTAGCCACCCCTCCGGTCAGCAACACAGCCCGCATAATCTAATTACGGAGTGACCTTAAGGTCGAGGCTGTGGATGTCTAGCCTCCATGGCATGCCGAAAACTCGGGGTTTGGGGGTCTTCATGATCTTTGGGAGCTTTTATGTGCTATTTTCTGATTGCATATAGACAACATAGCCGGCCTGGTTGAATTGCCCACGTTTTTTGGACTGGGCTAAATAAGAAAACAGCCGAAGACCATCAACCCCTCAACTCTATAAGCCTGCTAAGGTCGAGACTGTGGATGTTTTCTAGTGACAATACAGGTTGTCCAAATGAGAATTATGCCAAACCATGTTATCACAAAATAAACTAAGCAACTGGAAAAGTTATCCGAGAAGTCAGACGTTTTGGGAACCATCTACCATCTCGTATCACGTACATCGGCAGTGTAAGGCCACTGAGTCTTATGTAACGCGTATTTAATGTAATTGATGGCCGGAGGCGTCACCAAAAGCGCATCGTGGCAGCGTGAGAAAGTGTAGAAAGTAACGGTAAAGGTGATGAAGGACAGAAGATGTTGCCTTGACACGTGTTTGACAGCGAATTTTTCCAGTCCAAGGTTTGATTTACCGATTTTAATATGGCAGACCACCGCATTCAATGACATGATAATTTACATACGGATTTTCTGAGTGAACTCGGACGGAGTCTATTTCATAACGATGCCCTCAGGCGTGCACAATGAGGTAATGATAGGGTGGCGCAATCGTCAATTCGTGTTGAAAAATTATCTATCGATAACGAATTTCATCAGATACATTTTGGTAAATGTCACATACAGATTCTCATACAGTACACAATCTTTTTCCTTAAGTTCTGCGGCAACGGTAGTGGAACTTTCTTGTGCAAACATTTTCTCGAAATCTCCGCATTTGTAAACAAAGCGAGTTACGTAACCTATTGACGACAGGTGACGGGTCAAGGAGAAGGTATTAAAGGTGAGGCTTAATCGTCGGGAGCTTTTGTCTGAGTAATTAGCACATAGGTCAGTGTATAATTCTCACGCCGTTCTTGTCAGAAAGAGTTTAAGACAAGCTGAGCAGGAGTCACCCACACGAGCTAACGACTCCAGAACGTCTTGAGATTTCCGAGAAGAAAAGAAACTTCATCGCTGTGAGTACGCTATAGAAATGTTGCCTTTATGGACGTGGTGAATTCGGGGTCTTCAGACTGGGGTGATCCTCGTAGCCGGGCCGCGGGCCGGGCTGA